TTTTTTTTTTTTTTTTTTTTTTTTTTTTGGTACCGGGGATTGAACTCCGGTCCTTGCGCTTGCAAGGCAGGCCACCGAACTGCTGAGCTAAATCCCCGGCCCTCCAAACTGGTCTTGAACTCACTATGTAGCACAGGCAGAACTTGAACTCACCGTGATCATCCTGCCTCAACCTCCTGATTGCTGGGATTACAGGCATGCACCACCACACCCAGTTTTCTCCATGAATTTTTTTTTCTTTTTTGTTTTGTTTTGAGCTAAATCCTCGGCCCTCTCCATGAATTTCTAATGTGAGACAATTAACAGTAGATAAATGACAAACTTGTCTTTCAAAAAGAGGCCTTGGCCAGCAACACTGCTTTGCCACTGGGCCCTGGCAGACATCAGCAGGCTTGGCCAAGGGATGTTTTCTACCAGACTCGTCACTTGGTCCATGGTGGACCTTGGGTGTGGGGGTCAGGAGGATGAGGCAGGGCCACGGTAGCTGAGCCCCTGAGGTTGAACCCTGTCCTGGACAGGTGCTGCAGGGGCCTGAGTACTTGGCTCTGAGCTGCCCTATTCCCCCAGGCAGGTGACCTGCATCTAACCGAGGTGGCTGCCCTTTTCTCGGGCCTCAGCCTTGCTGTACCCTCTAGCTTAGCAGGGCACCATCTCTTGTCAGGGGACAGTGTCCCTGATGAAAACAGCAAGGGTTCAACTCCAACCTAATAACCACCCCATGGAGAACATGGCTCAGGTCTGTAATTTGTCTGGCTCGCCTGGGCTGGCTGCCGTGATAGAAGCACTGATGCCTTTCTGCTGAGATTAATGATGTCCCAGCAGTGGTAGGCGGGAGGCCTGAGCCTTTTCTTTTTTTGTGCCATTAAATGATATCCAGAGACTTTCACTCGGGAGCTGAAAAGCTCTTGTTCCATCACGTCTAATTACTCCTAGAGAATATTTGCTGAGTGGCTGATCCTGCTGGCTCTGGGGTGGAGGGGACACTTGGACCCTGGTTGGAGTGACACACTGGGGTGGCTGGGCAGTTGTGGCATGGTGAGTGAGAAGTTGGGGAGACTGGAGAGTTGGAGGGAGGTCCCTAACTGTCCAGTGAATGGATCATCTAGGCTTCCTTCCTCCACCTGAGGCTAAGGGTGGGGACAGGAGGAGGAGGGGATCTAAGCTGCCCAGTTAGCTCCCCATTATCACGTTTGGGAATTATCTGCCATTTCTCTGTGTGCTCCATCTGATATTGCTTGGCTGGTGTTTGGCTTGACTGGGGCAGTTTTCGGGCAACTGCTGGCCAGGGTGCCTTGCTGTGTGTTGCCCAGGTTGGCCTCACCTAGGTGCCTGC